CCCGAATGGCCACACGTATCCACAGACCCAGTGGCACGCCTTCTGGGTGTCCTCTCGGTCTGTACATTTCGGCGCGTCCTACCTTGGAATTCTGGGCGGTGTCAGGCTAACCCCTGAGGCGTCAACACATCCCCCTATCCGAACACGACGAACCAGAGTAATTACAGTGCCCGGCGTCGCGTCAGCTTCGAGAATCTTGGTCCGATCTCTTGCAGCCTGCACTTGGTGCCGTCGTCTTTGAAGACGTACCTTCCCATGCTAACCGATAAGAACCAAGAGATACTCTTCCCCTCCCCCATCTCATCCTCTTGTGCACCCTGCTTCAGGACCTCTTTCAGACGAGTTGCAGAAGACAATTCTCTGCTCAAAGCCCATCCAAACACATGCTCAGGGCAAAATGCGACAACACCCATGCAGTTCTCACCTGACCCAGCCCCTTCCACCCTGGGCATGCACCTCTCTTTACCTCCCCTCCCTTCATCAGGGAGGACAGGGCGATCATCGCTTTCAGCCCCTGGGCATCCAAGACGTCAACAGAGCAACACTTCGCTTCCAGGGGCATGAGCCCACCAGACTGGAAATTGGGGAGCGGAGTTACAGCGCCTGCAGACCACGCCGAGCACCGAGACGACAGTGATTATGGACGCATGGGAGGCCTTCCCGTAAAGAGAAGACAGAACAGTGCAAACTTTCAATAAATCTCGATTTGCGGCATGCGTTCTGATCCGATGGCCTGCAACGCGTCATCCACCGCTTCCTCAAGCATGCGCCGAAGTGCTTGGCTTCCATGATGCGACTACCCTCAATCTAACCCGCTACAGCACAAGCAACACGAGACACTTCTTCCCCATATATCTGCTTCCCAGAATGCCCTGTCCCAGCCTATAGTGCCGGAAAAAGACGAAGTCACGCTGGTTGTGAAACGTGACCGTTCTTCTGCCGACGAAGTCCGGCTTCTGCACAAGAGGCAGTGGCCGTAGAAAGGGCGAGAGTGTAGGCACATACGAACTCAAAGCGCAGGAGGATCGGGGAGGGGGCAGGGTCATATTACAAGGAGCACGAAAATTAGAAAGAAGACGACCGCGATGACATGTACCATACCTCTGTAGATGTAGGTGTGTGTACAGTCACATGGATGCATGCGTACATGAATGTATGTATATACATGCATTGTGAACATGTGTATATATACATGTGTATATACACATGACCACAAACTTTGGTGTGATAGCCAGCCTCGAGTTCTTCGCACAAGTTAACCTCAATCAGAAGCCAGGCGAAGGCTGGCAAATCCGTGGCTGATAAAACGGAGCTCCAGGATTTTCTTCCCCCCAGGAAGCAGCCCAATTACTCTTTAGCGCGCTGAGTTTTATTCCGGGAATGTGTTTGTTTCTTCTGGGAAAACCACTTTAGCAGCCAAGGATTTGCCAGCCCTCGCCCAGCTTCCGACTCGAGTCGGGCCCGAATTCCATGGCACTTGTAGCAGAGACTCCTCAACTAGTGACGACAGCGGTGGTTGCAACGCCATGACATGATCCAAGCGATGCAGGCCACTGGCGCTTGAAGCGGCATTCAATTCTGCAACGTGGCAGCGATCCTAAACCTAAACTTGCCGCATACCTAGACTGGCCTCGCGTGCGCCCTCTGGGGCCACGTGTGAGCTACCTTGGGCCACGCTCCCCCTGAGTGATGCGCCGACATGGCCGAGGGCCCAAATGTCACCGCGCCCACTGAAGCCGTAAGTGGGGGCTCCCTGTGGGGCACGGCCTCAGTAGGTGAGATCCCCGTGGGCCACGACTGGCGTGACTGGTGCGCCGATCTGGTCGCGGGCCCGAATGCGATCACACCCACTGAGGCCGTAATTCGGGGAGGGCTCCCTGTGGGGCATGACCCGCATGAGGTATGGGCAACAGTAGCTTCAGGGGCCAGCAGCGGCAGGAGCAGCTAGTGGCAGAGCAGCAGCCTGCGGCAGCCAGCGCAAAAGGCAGCAGCGGCAGGGAGGGGAGGAGAGAGCCAGAGGCGGGAGGAAACGTGCGGCGCTGCAGAGAGAAAACGAGGACGCAACAACAGAAGTATAAAAAAACGTCATCAACTGTAACTTTTGGCGCTCCGCGCGGATTTCTTGGATCCGCGCTGGGCCTCCCCCGGAGGCGCCTCCGGCGCCGCCCCTGGCGCGCTCCGCGCGCCAGTGAGAGGAGTCCAGCGCGGATCCAAGAAATCCGCGCGGAGCGCCAAAAGTTTATGCTTATGCCGTTTTTCCTTCTTCGAAGCAACTCAGGAACGTTGGGAATGGTTGTTGGGTGCCTGGGGCATCTCCTAGAGGCTCTCGGGTCTCTCTCTCTCTCTCTCTCTATCCCTCTCTTACAGCCTGGGCTGCGGACGCAACGAGCTCCGTCCCCACCCGGGCTCAGCATCCCTGTGGTTTTAAATCATGTTCCCATAGATTGCCCCTCTCCTGTGGCTCCAGTCCTGGGTGTTTTACGTATGCTCCTATAGATCGGGCTTCTCCTCTCAGCGGCGTGGCTGGCTGTCACACGGTCCAGCCACCGTGTGAGACGTTCTGGGCCAGCAAACGAAGCGCAAGGGTTTCGCACTGTTGCGTGCTTCCTTGGGGCCTCTTGTGACATCTTGGCGTGCTTCCTTGGGGCCTCCGGGCCCTGCGAGGCCCTCAAGATAGTCCCAAGATTGCCCATGGCTGCCCCAAGATTGCCCAAAGTTTCCCAAATTGCGAGGCGGGGATTTATCCATATCCACCGCCTGGGAACCGACGTCCTGGTGCCCCAGCGGGCGGTGGATATGGATATATGTTGGCCCCTGGGGGCCCGAATATATCCATATCCACCGCCTGCCGAGGTCCCCAAAATTGATCCTCCAAGCGGTGGTCATGTACAAATTCCCGCCTCGGACACATGTACCCCAAGATGGCTTCAAGCAGGCCCACAGACGGTCCCAACTCGACTCGGCGGCGCGCCCAGGGGAAGGCAGAGGGGGGGCGGACCTTCTCGAGAGGCGGCGGGGCTGCTCGGAAGCCCCCCCGACCTCCGGCGAAGCCCCTTGCGGCATCGGAGCAGGCTCGAGAAGCCTCTCAGAAGACCGGAGGACTTCCGCACCATCTGAGCAGACCCGCCCCCATCTCGGGGGCGCGCAAACATGGATTGGCGATCCGCGGATTTGGCGCGCGGTCGCCAAATCAATGGATCGGGGGAGGTGCCCTCCCCGAAACGCGGCTGGTGCCGCCTCGCTCGGCGGCGGAAACCCGCGATCTCCCATGGAAACGGGACCCGTCGCGAATCCACGCCCCCTTGATCCATGTTTGCGATCGCCTGACCATCTGTCGTCCCTTTGATGGGCCTGTTTTCCACCACCACCACCACCATAAGTTGGAGGGGGGAAGGAGGTGGAGGATGAGGAGGAGGAGGAGGAGGAGGAGGAGGAGGAGGAGGAAAAGAGGACCCCTTCCCCCCTCCAACTTATGGTGATGGCGGTGGAAAACAGCCCAACAGCCTTGGCGCACCGAGCAAGCGGTTCCAGCTCGACTGCCCTCAAGCGTCACGTCCGTCATCGTCACGGCACCGACCTTGCAGACGTGCTGCAGCGGATTTTCGCGTGGATTTCTGGCACTGCAAGACCCCGAAACGGCGAGTGAAAAACGAGGTGAATTCCGCGTGGATGTTTTTTTGTATTCATGCCTAGCCCAAAAAAATCCGCACGAAATTCACCTCGAAATCAGGAACGAAATTATCCAGGACACTCTGGGCCCATCCTATCGTTTTCCGAACGAAATCCACTCTGCGATGTTGGCGCCATGGTCATTGGGGGGGAACACTCGGTCAGCCTGCGGGAACAGCGCGAGCAGCTGCCGCCCCACACGCCGGCCGAGGCGCGTCACGAAGTTGTTCAGGATGAGCTCGGGGTGGTGGCTGGCGTTGCAGGTGGCGCTCCCCCTGGCCCCTTCCTGCGATAGCGCTTTTGTTGGGGGGGAGAGAGCAGAAGGAGGAGGAGGAGGAGGAGGAGGAGGAGGAGGAGGCCACAACATGTCCCCACTTCGCGGCAGGCAGCACAGAGCGACAGAGCGTTCGACCACTCGCCGCCCTCCAGGCGGACGGCACTGCGGTTGAAACGCATGGGATGCAAAGGAGAAGAAGGGGGAAGGAGGAGGAGGGGAGTAAGAGGAAGGAGGAGGAGGGCAGTCCCGACCCCTTCCTGCGATAGCGTGCTGTCTCTGCGTCTGCCTTCTCCCCGACAGCTCTCCCGCCTTCTGTGCACGCAGGGCTCTCGGACTCCCGGCCTCAAAACCCAGTCACCAGTGCGGAAAGTGGCATTTGCACTCGCGAGCGCCGACCGATGGCACTGAGTACTGGCATGCATCGTGCACGTCTACGTCAAGCTTAGCGTGCGTGAAAGAAGATACGTACGCGTATGTGCATACGCCTACATCCCGTTCCTCCAGACACCCCTGCAGGGCACTGAGTGGACAGTTGTCAGGTTCTTTCGAATTCTCTGCACTGAATACTTCGAGTTTCAAAGCACCAGACCAAAACAAATCCAGAAATCCTGGGCGCTTCTGGGGCTTGTCGCGTCCAAGAAGGGCTCAAGGAGAACCTCAAGAGGCAAACAGAAATCATGTCCCAGAATTCTAGGAAGATTTTGAAGCATTCTCGCCTTCTTGGTCTTCAGAACGTCCAGGCGGGCCAGGAGCCCCCAAGGCTGGGCCAATACCGTCCTGAGGGGCCCCACGAAGACCCCAAGACGGTCCCAACACGGGCCCAAGACGGGCCCAAGAGAACGCAAAGGTTCTCCGAGATGGCCCCAGGAGGCCCCAACAAGGCCCAACAGGCCCGAAAAGAACCCCAAGACGGACCCAGAGGGCGTCCCCCGGTGGTTTCTCCAACGGCCAAGGGGAGACGCAGTCCGCGCGCGGCCGCGCTCACGCTCGACATCCCCCTCCACGCACACAGGCGTTTCCCAGGGCAGGGGGCGGCGCTGGCTCGCCGGAGGCGTCTTCGATTCGTCGCCGCCCCTGCAACATGCTGGAGGGATGCCTGGCGTGCTGGATTGGGGAACACTTTCTGGCCCGTCGGGAGGCTTTCCAGTGGTCTTCGGCCCAACCCGCTGGCCACCTGAAGATCGCATAACAACCAAAAAATCCACGAAGCTCGCATCCAAGATGGCAAAGATGGGCCTCCACGACGGCCCATGACGGTCCCTGATGGCCTCCGAGGTGGCTCAAGATGATTCACAGATGGCCCAATAGCGCCCGAAAACAGCCCAAGATGGCATCAGGACGTCTCAAGAAGCCTCCAAGACGCTCCAAAGGGGCTCCAGTCCCCAGAGTGGGCCTCCAGAGGAAACAATGTGTGATGCTACTTATGTTGTTCAATGTGCTTCAGCATATTGGTCTGCAGAACGCCCAAGACGACCCGAGGAGCCTTTAAGGCTGGCCCAAGACTGCCACGCAGGGTCTCAAGAGAACTCCAGGAACGGCTCCAAGTCGGCACCAAGACGGATCAAGAGAGCCCCAAGACGGCCATACAGGCTTTCGAGACGGCTCAGAGAGGCCCCCAAGATGGCCTCCGAAGACTCCAAACGACCCAAGAGAGCCCTCAGACGGCCCAAGAGAGCGCCGAGATGGCCCAGAGAGCCCCAGGAGGCCGAGAAGGCCCTCAAGGCCCGAAAGAGTCCCGAGGCGGCTCCCAGACGGCCCCAATGCCCTCCTCATTGCTCCCCCAGCGGTCTCCCAAACGGCTGTAGGAAAACGCAGTCCACTCACGTGGCAGAAGAGCCCAGAATCGAATCGATAAGTCGGATCGGCGATCGAAATGAATCGGATTGGCGGAAATCGGCAGCCGTTTCGGGGAAAGTCGAATCGGCGGAAATCGGCAGGCTAGTATGCCTCCAACCAAAAATCTGACCCCCAATCGGAATCCCAAGTCGAATCGAATCGGAGTCGGAAGCCGTCGAGATCGAGTCGACTCGCACCGGAGGAGTCGAGACGAGCCCTGCCGTGGCCGCACTGCCGCCCGACACTTCACAGCACAGCAGCTTCCAGGGAAGGCAGGGGACGGCGGTGATTCGCTGGAGGCGCCTTCGACCCGACGCCCCCTGATGATTCATAACAAACGTGCTTGGCGTGCCGGACTGTATAGCACGGCTTGACACTTCCTGTCCAGTGGCCTTCGGCCCGACCAACTGGTCCTGAACAGATGGGGGTGCCCAAGACGGATCCAACAGGGTCGCCAAGAGGCTCTCCAAGAGAGATCTGTCGCCATCGAGGCCGTAAAAAGTATCCCCATGTGGTGGCCTCCAACATGGCTCAAGATGTCTCCACGAGGGCCCTGATGACGGCTCAAGAAAACCTCAAGACGGCACGAGAAGCCCCCAAGACGCCCTGGAAAAGCTTTCAGAGACGCCCAGGACGGTCCTCAAGAGCAACAAGGGAAAAACAAATGCGCTGCCGTGCCTAAAGTGTCTCCATATTCTTCTCGCTCTCGCATGTTCGGGCTTCCGACAGCCCAAGTAGACGCCTCCTAGATGGGGTCCGATTAGATGGGGTCGGAGGATCGCGCCGCATCGTCAATACATCGGCGATGTATCGCCGATGCATCGGCGCCGTCGGCGAGGAGATCATCGCGCTCCACATCGAGCCGCATCGGAGATTCATCGGCGATGTGGCGTGATCCTCCGATCCCATCTGCTCTGCTCGGACCCCATCTAGGAGGCCTAGACCAAGACAGCCCCAGAAGCCCCCAGGGTCGGCCCAAGACAGCCCAAAAAGCCACCCAGAGAGGGCCCCAAGTGGGCCACAAGACGTTCCGAGAGAGACGCAGTACGGCCTAGGCAGGCCCCCAGGACGGCCTCCCAGGGCGCCAGATTGCCCAAGAGCGCCCCAAGAAGTTTCTCCTCCCCCCCATCCTACCCTTCTTCCTCCTCCTGCTCCTCATCCTCCTCCTTCTCCTCCTTATCCTCCCTCCTTCTTTTCCTCCTCCTCCTCCTCTTCCTCTCCTCTCCTTCCTCCTCCTCCTCCTCCTCCCTCCTCCTCCTCCTCCCTCCTCCTCCTCCTCTCCTGCTCCTCCTCCTCTTCCTGCTCCTCCTCTTCCTCCTCCTCCTCCTCCTCCTCCTCCTCCTCCTCCTCCTCCTCCTCCTCCTCCTCCTCCTCCTCCTCCTCCTCCTCCTCCTCCTCCTCCTCCTCCTCCTCTCCTCCTCCTCCTCCTCCCTCCTCCCTCCTCCTCCTCCTCCTCCTCCTCCTCCTCCTCCTCCTCCTCCTCCTCCTCCTCCTCCTCCTCCTCCTCCTCCTCCCCTCCTCCTCCCTCCTCCTCCTCCCTCCTCCTCCTCCTCCTCCTCCTCTCCTCCTCCTCCCTCCTCCTCCTCCTCCTCCTCCTCCTCCTCCTCCTCCTCCCCTCCTCCTCCTCCCTCCCCTCCTCCTCCTCCTCCTCCTCCTCCTCCTCTCTCCTCCTCCTCCTCCTCCTCCTCCTCTCCTCCTCCTCCTCCTCCTCCTCCTCC